AACGCACATGTGAACAATGTGAAAAAATTAATAAATAAACTGAAAACATAAAAAGAAATGGGTGAAAAAATCGGCCCCTTAATGAAGCACCTAATACAACATGTGAAATACCCCAGGAAGCTTTTTTTTGCAAATGGTAAATGTTTATGGTTTAATATAGGTATCGAATACATGCATAATCATCATTCACTTTTCATAGGGAAACAACAAGCCTCACTTGCTCCATCTTAATAAAAATTTCCATACTACCATTCATGGTATATTTTAAAGCAGCAGAAACAAAAGACATTTCTCAGACATTTCTCAGACACGTTTTTAGCTGTTAAATTAAACTGTGTCAGAGTCCTTCAGGATGAGTTCCTTCAGGGATGGCTAAAATAACTATAAGATAAAGGATCTCATTATTGTCGTTATGTGATAGAACAATTGTTGTACATATTATGACACACATATTAAATTAACATCTTGTGTGTCTAACAGGTTTGTTGGCGGCTCACCTGTAGATGCGGGTGGAACATATTGGCTCTACTAAATGCACTCCATGGCAACCCCTGTAACAGTCAACTTCATACACCAATACCAGGGCCCTGATGCAGCTACTGCAGATCCCAAGAGCTAGGTGATATGCAGACCTCCCAGGAACTGGATAGGGTGGCTCTGCAACAGACATGTATCCAGTACAGAAACATCCAGTACAGAAACTTGCCTTGTTTCATGTATCCAGTACAGAAACAAGGCAACACTAGGACTGGCACCTAACAAGAAAACAAGACAAGACTAGAAGAACCCAGAACCGGAGCAGGAGAGAAAGCCGAACCCAGAACATGTACACAAGACATGAGGGAAATATGGACAGGGCAGGACAGGATTGTACATGAACTGGGAATACAAGACAAAATAAAACCAAAAGAGATACAAGGCAAAACAAGAGGAGACATAACTAAGTACTATATATGTAAAACATTGGAGATTTAGACATACATAAATGGCCAAGATGTATGCAGCACTTACCTGCAAGAAAGGGGCAGAGGACTTGGAACAACTGCCTGCAGGAACCAACTGAAACAAAAGGATAAATGGAAAAGGAAAGGGTGTGGCAACATAAAACAAACATTTAAAGGAATCTAAGAGACTGGGAATTCCAGGAACGGAACCCAGAAAACCCAGCATAAAGAAAACCAGACATAGAATAGAAAACCAGAAAAACCAAGAAAACTAAACAAGAATTGTAAAAAGAGTACTGGATACCAGAAGCCAAGGCCAGACATCTCCGCAGAACAGGACAGGATGTGACACTCAGTTGTTCTGTGCTACCTTCCCTGTTACCTTGCTGTACCCTATCTGCTCTCCTGGAATTACCTGACCTTTGACCTGGATTTCAACTTTGGATTGCCTGACCTTGTCTTTGACTTACCTTATTGGACTCTGTTTGCTTTGGACTTTGTTATTTTCTGCTTATTTTTCAAGTACTGCATTTTGGGTTCCATAACCCCATGTGTAACACTCACATTAGTGTATCAGTTTTCTGGCCTTGGCTTTGCTGAGTTTATGCTCTGGATTCACACAAGTCCATTTTTATGATTTTGTACAATCAGTGGATGTCTTATTAAAGATATCTATTTATAAAATTAGCAGTTTACAAAAATGTGTAAAAACAACCTAAGTAGAGTGTATATCCTCCTAAA